TTTAATTTGGATGGTGGAACAATGTCATCACTCATAAACGAAACGTCCCCACATTGTTTTGCCTTGGGAGTTCTCATGTCTATTGTTTTTTATATAGTGAATTTTACTGTATATAAATTATACCTCAATAAAAAAAATAGTGATGTGCCTTTGGGATTATATGCAGAAAATAGTCCATTTTCGGAGGGGTCGCTGCTGCCAGTAGCTGGCTAGGCCCCAATCAAACATGTGGAATCATTAATTAGGGTCATTTGTTCTGCTGTGAGCTGAGCAGAATGTATATATAACCTGCTCAGGAGAGAATTAATTCATCCTCCTCTCTGTACTTTCTAGAGTCCTCCTAGCACGATTCTCAAAGCCTACAGGCCTCGTACATATGTTCTAATGGGCTAATTGTTAAGGCGACATTTGTAAATTAATCTCTGATTTGAGCTAAGTGGTTTCCCCTAATGGCTTTAATTCAGTGACTCCCATTCTTGGCCATATATCAGATTCACTGGAGGAGCTTGTGAGAAATAGAGGTGCCCAGCTTCCCCGTCCCCCCAGCTGGCCATTCTCTGGTTCCAGGGCAGGATGACGGCATCTCTGTTTTTTAAGAAGTGCCACTCAAGTGATGGGGTTGTGGGGGAGCTGCCTTTCTGAGCCTCTGCTCCAATCAGTGTCTGGAGGCCCTCACAGACTCGTGACTTGTGTCTATTGAAAGCACTTGGGTCAAACTCAACAACTTGAAACCAGTTTCTAGAACAGGCAGTGTGTCTAAGAGCCCACCTTCCTGATTCATTCATTCTGTGTTCATCTCACTGGGATTGTCCTTTCCTTGAAGATCTTCAGTGACCTGATGGGGGATATTCTGTGCTTTGCCATCTTGCTTCCCATTTTTATGAACTTTCTGAGACATTTGAGAGATCTTCAGGGCCTGCTGGAATGTCCATTATGAAGATATCTGTGGATCTCCCCCTCTCTGTTCTCCACTTATCATCAGGCTCCTGGTGCCAAGTGTTATGGACAGAGTTGTTTGTTTTAATGCAGTGTGTGTGTCTGTGGGTCTGTGGGTCTGTGTTCCTGACATTCTTCTGTGCAAGCACATGTTGTGTTTGATCTTGCATTTCTGAGAACAGATAACTCAAGAGTACCCTTGTTTCAATGACATTAATCAAATCACTTTTGTTAGGTATCTGGCACCTCCGTAAATATCGCTCAGTACTTGGTATCACCGCATAGCTTGTAGGTATTTTCAGTCAAGCTAAGAATATGGCAGTTCGCACTATCCCAGGTAGCCGCAGTGATTTGGTGGTGACCCCAGCCTGTGAAAAGCTAGAAAGGCTCTGGCAGAGGTCAGCACACAGTGTGCTGCGAGAGGGAATGCTCATACTGTCCCATATATCAGACTGTGTTTACGAGGTCTTGTTTGTGACAGCACTTGGTAAAGTGCTTGGTTATTGTAAGAGGTCTTCTGTGCCTCCGCTGCTGGAGGGCTAGTGTTTCTCCATCTTGGGTATTCTGCTTCTCTTGGCCTCATTTTACCATGTCCCTTGGGCTTCAGTGCCTTTTATCCCTGGGACTATCGAGGCACATGGAAGGACTCCCATTGGCTTCCCCCTTACTGAAGGAATGCTGGAGTAGTCATTACAGGTAGGAAGAAGGGACACTGAGAACAAAGAGCATGTTGAGACAAGAGCCCCTATGGTTCCTGCCCATCCCCAACTTCTTCTCCCATTTATATCTCTACCTAGTCAATACCTTATTACAGATTGACTATTCCTATGCCATACAATTGAGCACTAATTGCATAACATAACATTGGTTACTATGTAAGGATTACTCCACAAAGAAGTATATTTCATGACTCCAAGTGGACTTTTTCCATGTTTCCTAGGGCTTCGAGTGTAGCAGATGTGAAATAAATACTTAGATAATTATTTGGGGGTGCTCTATAACATAACCATTAGCATTTAGGCTAAAAATCTAACCATTTTGTGTAGTTGGACTGAATTTTTTCATATTTAGAGAAGATTTCTCAGACAGTGGGGGATTTATCAGAGAGAGAGAGAGAGATAAGAGATGGAGAGAGAGTGAGCACTTGCTAGTCCTTTGCCAGGGCCCCGTAGAAGATGAGTCCGTTGGACTCTTTTCATGGCATAATCCAAAGGGTTGATTCATTTTCTGCAGCACCTGGATCCAGGTTGACAATGTAATCAAGCCTGACATGATAAAGGGCCATTTAGCAAGTTTAAAAATCACATGCACAGTTGCCTTAATCCTGAGAAGCTGGTCCCCTCCCCATTGATCATTCAGCCCTGGAGGCAGGTGGGTGGAACAGTTTGGGCACCCTGTACCTCCTCAAGAGTAAGCCTTCCAGCCGAACATGGGGACCCAAGAATAGGTTCACTCATCAGGATCTTCAGCTCTTGGAGGTCATTTTCCTCTTGGATTTCTTCCCTCCTTTACCCTATCAGAGAGATGCTGATATTTGAGTTTGCATCTTAAGAAGCTAGCAGGAGTCCTCCCCTCCTGTCACTGGCTGATTTGCTTAAATAAGCTGCACATTATTCCCCATCACAGAGGCCGAGTGAAGGCAGCTGGGACAAATTAGTGTCAGCTACTTCGTCTGGCCCCCCAGTGCTGGGAAATCCTCACCATTGCAGGAGAGCTTAGATTCTGAGCTTGTTTCATAATGATGTAGATGCCATTTGCAAGGGCTTCTATCCTCTTTCCTCCCCTCTCCCCTGCGTCCCTGCCCTCCCCTCCCCTCCCCTCATTGGCCTGTATAGTCAGCTCTGACCAAAGCTCAGCAGTCACACACACACACACACACACACACACACACACACACAGCCCAGCTGACAGAGATTAGTCTTGGGTCAGCTGTTTATGAATGAAGAAGAGGTTCTTCCCCTGTGTCCTGGCCACGCCCCTTCTCTTTGCAGCAGTTTGAGAATGAGGTCGGGGCCAGGATCTAACTGCTTATGTCTCAGAAATAGCAACCAGATCAAAATTAATCTTAAGCTATTTGTTTTGCTGCCTCATTCAGATGATAGAGGGAAAAGCCGAGGCTTGTTTATGTTTTTGTTTGTTTTTGTGGATGACTTTGCAAAGAATGAATGAGTGAGTGTGAGGGGAGAGCCTGGGGTGAGCTTGCCAAGGGGATTAGCACCGAAGAGATGGTGATTGCCAGCAGACTGCAGTGTTACCTTGGATTCAGCTGCAGCGTGGTTTAGTTTTTGAGACAAAATGGAAGAATTAAATAAGCCCCAGTGGTGTACTGTTTTACCACTTCCTTTCATAAGGCTAGTTTGTCAGGTGCTATGAGGCTGTGTCTTCCTTCTGCAATGTCGGGCTGTTTGTCACTGTTTACTGTGTGGTTGGCTGTCTGTCCAGTAGCTCCATGGGGTTCTGCAATGTTTTCAGTGAATACCGTATGCAGATTTCATTTCCCCTCCACCACTGTGGTGCACACACACAATACAGATATGTGTGTGTGATCCTTTCTCTCTGTCTCTCCCTCTGTCTCTCTCTCTCTCTCACACACACACACACACACACACACACACACACAGCTTGACCGTGCCCAGTCATTACATAAGTTGGGATTCATCTCTCTCCACCAGCTGATGTCAGAGGGATGGCAATATGTAGATACTCTGAGGAGACTGACACTTCTTTCCATCCAAAGTCCCTTTCGGATATTAGCGTGTCTGAAAGGTATTTGTTGGTGGTGTGTTTGGCAGTGGTGTTTACTTTTGTTTCCAATCTTTGCATCTTTCTTATTTCTGAGCATCCATTTAGTTGCCCTACTAGAATGGAGAGTGTCAGTGTCAGCCTCAGCTGCGACATATGCACTGGATGGGCTTCAGTGTGACAGGTATCCTTTGGAGGATGTGCCAGACTGTCTTTCATGTCAATGGCGATTAATTTTGAGTGAAGAGTGTAAAGATGAACTAGGATTCTCGTGTAGCTGGCTCTGATGTATTACCGAATTTGGCTTTCCTCACCTAAACCATTTCCAGAATACTTGAGAAGTGTTGTAACTACACAGGCACACACACGTGCGCACACGCACACACACACACACATTTGTACAAGCAGCAAATTTGTGCTTTTCAAATTGATGGTTCTTGCCTGGAGACAGGAAGTAAATCAGGGGTTGCCTAGGGCTGGGGGCAGGAGCAGGGATTAACTGTTCATGGGTGTGAGGGGTCTTACTGGGATTGACGAAAATGTTCGAAACTAGATGACAGGAATGGCTGTACCACTCGGTCAGGTCACTTGAAGTCATTGAATCGTATACTTAAAATGGGTGAATTCTATGGTATGTAAGTGGTATCTTAGCAGAGCTGTGAAAAATTGATATTCCCATATTTGAGTTCCTCTGGGCCGAGGTTGCACATAATATGACCCATTGTATTACCCTAAATGTTTACCTGCCCTTCCCACTGGAGAGTGCTGACTTCAGTTGCAGAGAAGCTAGACGCTGTTGATGATAGGGCAAGATGAGACCCAGCGCCACAGATACAAGAGTTTGGCCTGACCCCTGTTGGCCAGCACTGAGGTTGCTGCCCACTGCACGGTGCGGAGGCCACATCAAGGCAACCTGTGGGGACCTCCAGGGGGCTGAGATTCCCAAGCTGGCCCCAGAAAGCAGTCGGAACCCTGCTTCCCAGCTGCTGCCGCATGTCAAAAAAATTGGAGGGGGAGACGAACCATAGAGAGACTATGGACTCTGAGAAACAAACTGAGGGTTCTAGAGGGGAGGGGGTGGGGGGATGGGTTAGCCCAGTGATGGGTATTAAAGAGGGCATGTATTGAATGGAGCAATGGGTGTTATATGCAAACAATGAATCATGGAACACTCCATCAAAAACTAATGATGTAATGTATGGTGATTAACATAACATAATAAAATAAAATTAAAAAAAACAAAAAACAAAAACCCCTAAAACCAAACACAAAGCTTTTCGGTGTTGGCTCTTAAGTGATGACGTATTCCTCTTCTTTTGCAGGTTGTCTTAGTCTTTGCTCTCAGCATTGGTGCACTTGTAATATACTTCATAGATTCGTCAAAGTGAGTATTCAAATACATTGTCTTGCCCTCTTTGCTAAAACAATCATGAGCCTCTGCATTGATCAATCGATTTACTTTAACACCAAAATTTAGAAGGCTGTAAAAGGAAGGCAGGGCAACTCTGTGTTGGTTTTCTGAAGGGGAAAATAAGCTTACACAAGGAAGGTTACTTTGATTCTGCTGGCACAAGGGGGAGGGAGAGGTACCTGAGGGTAAGCCTTTTTACTGGGTATTATTTATTTTGAAATAGCTGTGTCCTGTTGAAGTATTTATACTAAAGATGTCGAGAGGTTAAGAGGGCTTTGGTATGAGTGTCCAACCACTGGGAGCGTTCCAAGTATCCAGCCAACATGGGCCTGAGCCATTCTTGCCATGGATGTAAGGTCCTCATCTCATTAGGGTTTCTGATGCTTTAATCTTATCGGAGTTCAGATTAGGAAGCATGGCTCTGTCCTTTGCCGCTATCAAGCAGAATATTCCGTGGGAGCATCGCTCGTTGGTGCTTCTTGACTTGTGAAGGTAACAGATGGGATGGAGGAGTTCATGGCGACTCCCAGAGGTGCAGGCCTACGGCCATCTAGGATTTCCTAGAGCGGACATTCATGCAGACCCCTGGGGTGTGAGCTGAGTGAACTGGTACTCTAGGGTGAGCCTGACGTGGGGTCTTGTGACAGCGTTTAAGACTTTATAGGAGGCAGAAGAGGTCACTGAGCAGAACTGCTAGGTGGTGGCCCACTCTGCCTGGGTTCCTGCAGGTGTCACGCCAGGGTACCTCATTTGTTCCAACTATTCTCTTGCAAGCTTGAGGCTAACAGCATCTGGGAAGCTGGAGCCGAGCTGGTCTGATGCGCCTTTCTGTGGTGACATGAACTTGAACTCTTTGCCTTCATTGTCCACTGTGAGAGTGTTTTCACCTCTTTGAACTCTATCCGTGGTATGGCTGCCTACTAGAGTTTGATTCCAGGAACCTGCTTTGTGTCCTTGTTGGCACAGACCCTGGTGTGCCTGATTCTGAGCTTAGTGCTCTTTTTCTGTGGCTCAGGATGGTAGTAATTTCATGCACACCTAAATTCTGAATTTCTCAGAGGCATCTGGTCACCATCCAAAGGATTTTGTGCAGTTGGGTGCTGAGGCCAAAATGCCATGTCAGGGAAAATAAAGAAAGCATCCCTTTAATCACTTACCTCTGGGGATCAGCCAAGTCTGAGAATATCAGAGATCCTTCAGCCCGACCTCATGCACAAGGCTGGACTGCCCTCATCCACCTCAGGTGGAGGGTCCTTTCAAAGTCCTCCAGGAGACAAGATTCTACACGCTCCCTCCATCAGCTCTTCCTGGCCAAGAAAGAGAAGGGCTGCTTAAGTCTGGAAAACTCCAACTGGATGTCATTGAAGGTAAGCCTCTTCTAAAATATCTACTGTTAATGATTCTGGATCATATTTGAATTGAACCAAAGATCTTCTAAAGCCCTGGTCTTATTTCTCCATTCTCTTCCCAGGAGTGAGGAGTGTTCTCACATGTCAGGGGGTGCATACCCTGTCAACTTCCATGCCAGGCTCAGGAAATGGGTTTGGGCATGTAGAATGTGTGCCCCAGACCGAGCAAACCCTTACATGGAGGTGAGTGTGGTGATCGGTTAGGAGAGATGCCTCGGCACCTTCTTTCCCTTCCCCAGCCTTTCTGCCCCTCTGTATTTCTCAGAAATAAAATGCTCTTGTTAGATGGATTTGAATTGTGTCCTTTTTTACAGTGTCTATGAGAGGTAGTCTTTTGTTCTGTAGATTCTGGTGTTCTCGGCTCTACCTAAGAGGATGGAAAGGAATGGAATTCCCCAAAGCAAAGAGCCCCTTCCCTGGATACCCTGCAGCACTGCAGTGTTCTTCGGGTTTTGTTATGATTTTGCTAAGTCTTGGGAAAGCCAGCATTGGGAGCCCTCTCTGGCTGTGGTTTCTTTTATGGACTTGCAAAGAGTCTATTCCAAAGATGGGCAGTCAGTCCTATTTTCCGCTTTTCTCAGCAAAAATGTCAATAATCTTGGAACGGAGCTTGTCCCCATTCTCTCTGGGGACTGTCCTAGCCTCAGTCTTTCTTCTCTGTGACTGACCTGTGTGGTTTGGCATAGTGAGACTTGGTTTATAAGAAGACCTTATGTTTATTTCTGTCAGCCCTTCCACTTCTCATTTGCATTACTACGTTTGGTTATAGCCATCTGCCAAGGTTCTGTCCTGTGGGCGACCTGATCAGCACAGCCAATACCAAGGAGTCTTCCATCTTCCTGGGGGTAGTCGCGAAGCATGTGCGCATTAAGTAAGGGGAAGAAGTAGAATCTGTAAAATAACCTTTATGGCAAGTCCATAGATTCCCAGGAATAAAAAAAGAACCTATGAGACATTGTAATCAAGCAGAGTAAACAAGAGAAAATGAAATTCTATCCACATATAAGATGCAAAGGAAAATGTGTAAGAAAGCTGAATGTAAATTCTTAAAATCCATCTTCCCATTCAAACTCTCATCGATTGGACACACTGGTGGTTTGGCTGGCCATTTGGGCATCTCGGAAAGAGAGCTTTAAACTTCTCTTGGGAAGTTACACTATATTATCTCCCTGGAAAAACCTAATATTCTTCAGACCAATTTTTGTTAGCATTTATGCCCTTCAAATATATCAGTCAAATAAATAAATCTACAGGCTTTCCCTTTGTATGAGCTTAATTGGGCAGACACTGTTGTGAGGTGGCTTGTCTCAGTGAATTTTAATCAGCGTTGGCCTCCCCAACAATGGTGGGGAAGGCTCCACAGCACAAGTTCAAGATGTAAGACTCTGCACCCAGCCCCTTGAAGAGGCAGATTAATATATGAAATATGCTCTGGTGGTCTGCCCTGCAGGCTCAGTGTCAGGCAGGCTGATTCAGGTTGTGTGAATGGGCTGGCAGGCTGGGTGGTTTGGTTATTCCCTTTCCGTGTGGCAGCAGGTAGGGAAGGCAGTTCAGATACGTGTCATAATTGGTGCCTCTCTGATCTTGTTAACCTTTCCAAGCTTATTGTACTATCAAGAGGCAGTGGGTAAGTCATTTCCAAAGAGCCTCTCCTACACATCTTTCCTTTCCCGTTGTTAGGCCAAGATAGGTCCCTGGGCAGCTCTTTTTCATTCAAGGATTTGAGGAGCCCTTCTTTGGGTCTTAATTTTCCTAGAGTGATCGCCACAGAAGAATCACTTGCACAGCCTCGAGTGATTGCTATCTAGCTAAGACAGATTGCGGTCAGAGCTCCTGGAGTTGAAAGCCAAAGAGAATTACGTTAAACTGTGTTAAAATTATGCTTCATCATCCCAGCGGTAGACTCTCTAGAAATACCCAAGCAGAGGGAGTTGTTCCTCCAAGTCTTTGGATAGACACAAGTGTCAATTCCTTACAGACACAGAGAAGCGTTAAGCCCTCCAAACACAGTAACCCCATCTCTCAAAAGATACTAAATTAGCCACAGGACGCAGATATTGCCCAAAAGAACTCTGTTTCTTTTTCATTCTTTTTAAAGGTGTTCTGCCCAATTTAAAGCATATGCCACTCCAGCTCCTAATTCTGATGTTTCTTGATCTCTATGCCGACCCTTTCCTCCCACACGCTCTGATACTCTGTGAAGCAAAGATTTTTTAAAAATTGTACAACCGAGTCAAAAGTGCCCCAGACACCCTGTGGGTAATAATGTCACCATTGCTGGTTCCATCCCTGTCTGTTTCCTCTCTTTGACATAGGAACAGTAATTCTTCTCTAATAGATAAGAAAAAAAAAAAAGACCCAACGATGCCAGCGTGAGGGCAGGATTCATGGGTTGTATAATGCAGCAGTTCCTGCTGCTTCTAGAATTTCAAGAGAAAGTTGGAAGAGACAGCGGCTCCAGGCCCTGGGTATTTGCATTTTTTTCCAGGGGCATTCTTGGAAAGGATGACTCACCTGTGGGGAGATATTTATTCCTTTGATTCATGTTTAAACTCAGCTACTTCTTATGCTACAGTTATGTGGATTATGAATATTTAATACTGCGTATACTGAAAATGAAGGTCAAGTCCTGCTTGCTGGTGACTTCAGTGCAGACTCATGCTTCTGCAAGGCAAGGTACCTGCTGTTAGCCGAGTAAAGCTGAAAGGTTATACATTGTTAAAATTTTCCTTAATGACTTTACCTGCTCCAAAATTATCTGGCACACAGTGGGGGCACCTGCTGATTTCACCAGTCTTTGCTCTTGGCTTCCCATATCAGCGATGCTGCTTTGGGGATATGGCCATTAGGAAGGAGGAGGGAACAGCAGTACAAATTTTGGAAAGCATCTCATCCAAGGGCTAGCTTCCAGGGTAATGGCAGTGTTATGATGTGAAAATGGTTCTCCCCAGGTCTTCAACGTTCATTTAACATTTTACGTATATATTCATGGGCTCATTCATCTTGTATTCATTCGAATGCTCATTTGAGACCTCTTCAGTGTACTCACGCGAAGATTTTCCACGCGGTAAAATTGCTTAGGGTTAGGTATGGTTAAGGAAGATTATCTTTAAGATTGCAGTAGCAATTGACCAGATTGTTTACATCGTCTCCAAAAATAAAACTGGTACCGTTGATGTGATGGGGATACCCAGAGCTTTCGTGGAACTGGCCAATCCCCAGCGATCTTACCCGTTGAGTGTTCACACAGGCGGGCCTCTAGTCCCCCAGCCAGGAAATTCTCCTCAGAAAGGAAGAGACAGGCAGGTGGCTGGGAGAACTACCATTCCCTGATCATAGACTGTGCGAGGTATGGTGCTAAGCACGTTGTAATACACATCGCACACGACCTCACTTAGTTCTCCCAACAACCTGATTGGGTGGGTGTGACTGCCCTTCCCGCTGTGCAGGTGAGGAGGCTGAAGATGCAGCATTTGTCCCAAACCATGTAGCTCGTCCATCATGGAGTCAGGATTCGAACCCAGCATGTCTAAAGGCATCTCTCTTCCAGGTGTCTCGAAGTAC